GCTGTAAAAAAAGGTAGTCTAAAGTGCTTTGAGTAGTCAGACGGGCTAAAAAAACCCATGTGTATTAGTTGCCCCCCGACTTCTGACCATATATAGTATTAATAATAACAACAGTGGTACTAATAATAATATTAACTAAGGTTTGGATAACCCCAAGGATGCTTTACAGAAGAGTAAAAATGAACTAAAACATAAAAAAAAAAAAAAGTCTTTTCATTTTAGCAAGAATTGTTCACAATTGTGCACAAAAAAGAGACCAGCAACCCTTCCTATGTAGTTTTTAATGAACAGACCTGTTGTTAACTTCAAAGTTACATATGTTGATTTGACATGTGACCTGAACCCCAGTGATTACTAAGTCTTTTTTTCCACCAATGCTTTCTAGTGTTCAAAACAGCAGTGGTCTTTGTTTGCAAGGAGGGGTCCAAGCAGAAGAAGAAAATGGTAGGTTTTCACAAAAACAGGATTCCATCAGCAACACCAAACCCCAATCGCAAACATATTGTTGACTTGCCTTTCCTGTGGACCATTTTTCGTCTGTAAAAACAAAAACAAAAAAATTCTTTACTTGACTGAAGGGAGGTTCCCACCGGGTCTCTGTATCTTCTGAAGAAAAAGATCCCTTCAGATTCCGTCACATGATCCCAACTGATGCCCTTCAAGTCCGGTCTATGACCAATGCAGGTATAGTAGATTACAAACTTTAGTAGCACACTAGTTCTAGCTTCAGTCCGACTAATGATTATCTCACAATATATTACCAGATTTCTACGTATATGAGACATTAGTGATGATTTCTCCCTCAGATGGCGAGGGCTCTGCTGTGTGTGAGATTATCCACACAAAATCGGAGTCAGAAGGAAGACCAGAAAGGACATTTCACTTGTGCTGCAGGTGAGGATTTCTGCTAAAGGAGGTTCAATTACACTGCAGATTACAGCTTGCCCACTACTGATAAAGTCCAGTCTGCTATCTAACGAAGTGACAAACTGTCTACCTTTCTCAGCTCTCCGGAGAGCAGAAAAGACTTTGTGAAGACAGTCCACTCCATCTTGCGAGAAAAGCATCGCCGGCAGCTCCTAAAAACAGAGAGCTTACCACTCAACCAGCAGTATGTACCCTTTGGAGGAAAACGGCTGTGTGCTCTGAAGGGAGCCCGCCCCACTATAAATAGAGCAGGTAAATGCCAGTCTGTAGATGCATTAACCCAACAGCTTCAAGTGCACAATTTATTTTTGACAGACAGGCAGAATCCTGTGGTTTTATCCTGAGTTTTTCATTTAAGGTTTTAACCAGTATTGTAGGAAGATAATTACTTTCAACCAAACTCCAAAGTGATGTACTCAAAGTAGTAAGATCATAATAATTTATCTCTCTGATGTTCTGGGGTTTTGCAGCATCTGCCCCGACTAGGACTCTCGGCCGAAGGAAGTTAGTGCGCAACCGTTTCACCATAGACACGGATATTGTTTTTGATGGTGATCCTGAACAGCAAGACCTCGTTTCACCAGAGGAGCCTGGCTCAAAACGGTCCCAGCAGGATGAGGAACCAGATCAGCAGCAGCAGCAGTCTGACTTGGCAGGTGACACAGACCGCTGGGTGGAAGAACAATTCGACCTAGAAGAATACGAAGATCAAGAAGAGGTGAAGGAAACTGACATCCTCAGTGACGACGACGACAACGACTTCTGCCAGACACCAACACCTGCGTCCATTGAGACTGACCTGGAGGCCCCAGTCATGGCTTTGACCTTGGAGGGTGTGGAAAGAGAGAAGAATCAATCCCCAACAGCCAGTGAGACATCTGACATGGCGAAGCAGAGAACCATGATCAATGACAAGACGGAGGATCAAAATCAGAAGGAGAAGGATGAGATTTGGGTAAGAAGGGAGCAATCAGGTTTATCCCCAGACTGTGCCACATAAAAGCAGATGCCAGAAGATAGACAGCGAGTGTTCTAGACAGCTTTACATGGGCTCCATAAAAACAAGTCATCACAAACAATGCATGAGCATTGATGTATATTGCACAGCTAGTAGAAGATATACCTTTCTTTATCTTATGCTGAATGCTTTTTTTTTGTACAGGTAAGAATATTAGTGGAGCAATACAGGAATCCAGAGTGAGGGAGCTTTTCCTGAATCGAATGCTGTTAAGGAAAGTCAAGTGTAAGCTTTGAGGGTTGAAATAATGGTACAATCACAGAGTCTAATCAGTTGCTTTGATTGGCATGGTTTGCACATTTGGGCGGCATTCTTTAGTCCTGCCTGCTGTTGCCAAATTTGGGTATTGTGAGAACATAAATATTTGTTATGTCTGTGTTACTCAGAGATATTATCATAGTTAAGGGCTGTATATTATTTGTCCTTAAAGAAATAGAACAATTAATTGCAAAGGACCGTTGTCTTGCATAGTTTACTATACTTGTGGATTTTCACATGAATATACACTGACATGTTTTGAGTACAGACTTCCTGATGTATTTGATTTTAATTTGCTGTTTATTAACTTAAAGCTATCCTTTTACTCGGAGAGACAGCTTGTTCTTTTTTTGTTACATTTAATAGGATAATAGTGGAATTATGTAAAACTCCCCTTGTCAAAGAAGCAAGGGGATTTCATTGTTTTGATTTGGCATAATCCTGTTTTACTTGAATTTGGCTGTTTCACGTGTCTTTGTTTACTGTGAAACCGTTTTGGTGACAGTTACTTTTCCTCTTCAGTATTACCACTCATACACATCGATACTTAACACTCCACTTGGAACCACTCAGTATTGTACATAATACATCTGGGGTCTGTTTCAGAAAGCAGGTTTAGTAAAATAGCTGACATTGTTAACCCTGTCACAAGAGAAAAAGTCATCAGTAGGTTTTCTTTAACAAATCTGTCCAGGAGTTTCTCCCTAAAGAAGGGCCTTGGATTCCCAGACAGATACGCCTTAATAAATGTGACTGTGTGGACATTTAGGCGCCTGTCAGGTTGTGAACCACTTCAAAGCACTGGAACATTTACCTTGTATTACTGTAGTAATCACAGTTTAGCACCAATTTGTATCAACATTTAGACACATCAAATACTCATTCATTAAACATGTGTCATGTAATGAGGAGTGAATCATGTTCATGATTACATGATTGTGTAAATACATGTCAGTAGAGCTGCAAATGAAATGACTAAGACTCTAAAAATAAACTAGCTATAGTTTAAAAGTGAGTTTTTACATATAAGCTGATATTGGTTTAGTATGGTCTGACAGCATTACATGTTGAGATATTTACAAACTTTAAAATACATCAGCTCACTATCATTAAATCTAGAGCCCATAGCTAAGAATTCCCATTCAGTTTGAACCTAGGCACAACCTCATATCCATATTTTATTCGCTTTATTTATTTCTGTCCCCATCGATTGAACCAGCTTTTTTTGAACCCTATCTCAGGGTTTATCAGTTCAGAGTTCAGGGTTAGCTTAGAGTTTGTAAACCTGCTTCCTGAAAGAGACTTCAGCTTCTTTAAAAAATGTCTTGTGTGTTCAAAATGATTGTTCACTAGTATTGGAATACAATGCAATGTTCTTATTTATTCATATGTAAATTAATTTGTTAGCACCAAACACAGTCGTGTTGTTTTTTTTTTTGTTTGTTTTTTTTTTCCACTGAGAAAGTCCAAATTTGCTCAAGCAATCAAGGGAAAGACTTGCCGTGTGCAAAATGAAAGAAGTCATACTTGTAAACAATTCATTGTGCTACTAAGACTGCGTTTTTATTACTGTGTGTATATAGAAATGTACTGATATCATAATAAAAACAGTTGTTTCCTACTTATAATTTAACATGTGTGGTTGGTGTGGTTTTAATCAGCAGCCTCATTTACTCCCTGCAGCTCAGCAGATACCAAGTCTACAGGACCATTTTGTGATGGGAGAAAACAAAAATGCCAAGTCGACATGCTTGTAAACAACAGAACTAAGTGACTAATCGATGCTCAGCTACCTTAAAGCAACACTTAGAGACTGACTGCAATTGCAACAAGTGGAAAACTTAAAGCTGAACTTTAGAAGACATTAAGAGCCACTCAGTGTTTGCTAGCTTCGGCTCACTAAGTGTCTGAGTGATGGTGCGCAACCTAAATCGCCATTAACAGAGAAAACACAAAAATGTCTGCAGTCAGTGTTTAGTGTTCACATAACAGGAATGAAGCAAGCTGAGAATTATTAACAACGATTGATTTAATCTAAATCTATACATTCTATAACTGGATATAGAAAATGAACACCGTACTTTCCAATATGCCTCCTCTAAATGAGTAATTTGAGGTGTTGTCATTACATGGACATTTTTTCTAATGAGAAACTATTGCATTTCAGTGCTAGTGAGTCATTTCCTATTTCGTTAAAGCTCTTTTTGCCAGTCCGGTTTTTTGAGAAATACAAAGGCGGGTGCAACAGATGAGCAAGGGGGAACGGTGGCCAAAAAATTCAGGAAGTGCATGAGCAAAGATAAACAATGGTTGCAGGAAGACTCTTCTCTGGCAGCTGCTTTTTGCACACAACCTTAAAAAAGATCAAATCACAACAATATGAACTGATACTGAAGGGCTATTGTGTTTTAAACGGTCTACTGTCTTAAGCGGGAGAAACACTGCTGCAAAAAGCACATGGAACAAGAGTTCAAAAGAACAAATCTACATTCCAGATTACAGAATGCCAAAAATAGAAAATGTAAGTTTAAATTGTCTATTAAAGGTAACGTCCTCTTGTACATTAGTCAAAACATTACATCTGTAACCCTGTTATGAGCTGTAGACAACTGTCTTCCACCATTGTTGAATTCTCTGCTTCCTTGGAAAAGAACAATTTCTTCAGTATTTTCAAGCTAACATCAGGAAGAATGGCAGCACTCTACAATCAGTGGGTACCTTATCTCCTCTTTTATAACTGAGCTCTCTGCCCCCCACCCCCAGCCAGCAGATCCTTGTCAATCACCACCCCCAACACAAAAGCTCTGGTGCTCCTTTTAGATCAAGGGGAAAGATCTCTTCAGACATACAGCCTTGTGATGTGAAGCAATACAGTACAGTTCTGAATGACATGACTCCTTGATTAAATATCTGCCAAGAGATAAATGGAACCATCCTAATTTATGGGATTATTTATCTTTTAATATCTCTATTTATAATCTTTATGTATTCATAAAAGGATATTACAAAGCAACTAATAAATGAATGATGAAAGAAAATCAAAGACTAAATCTAAAATCAAAAGAAACAGCCAAAACATTAGAAGAGGCCAAATGACCCATGTGGTACAAACACATTAGCCAACTCAGCAACACCAAAAGGACTGAAAAGCCACAGAAAGCGAAAAAATATGGGGAAAGAAAGGAAAATTTATGGCATAGGCATGTAAGGCTGCCAACTTATTGATGATGTGACTAGTGATAGAAGTAGCAGGATGAATTCTGTACATGTGTACACATGTACAGGGCTGTACTCTCCTCTGTTTTAGCCAAATGCTGCTAGCCTGATCATATGGTGATTTAAGGTGCAAATGGATAATGACCCAAAGCATTTTGCAAAAGCAAACCAACAGTTTCTCAAAGCAGAGAACTGAAATATTCTCCAGTGTCACGTCAGTCCCCTAAGCTCAACTCAACACAGCGTGCTTTTGAGTTGTTAAATACCAAACTAAATGCAGAGAGCTGCACAAAGAAGCAGTAAATGTTTGGCTGGCAGAGCGTTTCCAGCGAGGAAACACAGTTCTAGACTGTTGAAAATGGGGGGCTATGTACAAAAATAGCTGTAATTGCTAAAGAAATAATTATGGGCCGTAAAATACAAAAAACAAGTCAGCAGGTGGGGCTGTTCTGTAGCAGTAGGTACCAGGTACCTTTTAACCTACTTCTATGTGTATTGTCTTAAGACAAACAACGCTACATTTCTACTAATCTATAAAACAGGGCTTTGCCTTGCATTAGATTTTAAAAATACTAAGTGCAAAACAAGATTTTAAGCTTTGTATTAAGGCTTAAAATATGGTTCTGCACCGTGTTGTATGGATAGCACAGAACATTTAGAATCTTAAACTATGCAATATTTCTTATACAACAGATAAGAAATAACTGTCTTGTCCTTCCCCAATCGCCCACACTTAGATTGCAAGTCTTCATTTGAAGTAGTTCACCAAACAGTGGATAATGCTTAACATCCCTAAAGAGGTGCCTGCTTCTCACTCTAATGTACACTGTTTATTCATGCGCCATTTGAATGCTGGTAATTGCTAGCAAGATCAGTTTGGCTTCCTGCTTTCAGTGGCTCCTGCTACTGACACCCAAACTTCAGGATGCAGTGTAAGATGTACGTTTCTCTCCTGGCCCTGACTCCTGAGCTGCAGCCAGCAAGGGGGCTGACGTGCTGCTCTCTGGCATTGGTTAGCCTCCTGCTGCTCAGTCAAATGAGTCTGCAGTGGACATCATGCATCTGAAACAATCAGCAAGCTAACCAGTTGGTCCTCATGATTCTAATGAGCTGTATTAGGTTTCTTATCCCTCTATCATCGAAAGGTCACGTAACCCAATGCTGATCAATGCCAAGCATAGGGAGCTTGGAGAGGTTTTCTACACTAGAATAATTTTTCTCATTACTACATTTTGCATATATAGTTAAAAAAAAGAAGAAGCTAAGATATTTTTTAGAGGTGAATGTTGGATCTACGGACAGGCTGGCTATTGTATGGGATGCTTTGAAGGCATTTATTCGTGGAAAGTGCATAGGCTATAGTTCTAAGAAAAATAGAGAAGATAAGGAAAAGATAAAAACTTTGGAGGAAAATATAAGTAAATTGGAAAAACAATTAGCAGGAAAATTTGATGATAATAAATTTAAAGAGATTTGCCAGCTTAAATATGATCTTCATAAAATTTATAACAAAAAAGCAGAGTATGCCCTCTTTCGTCTTAAAACTAATTTCTATGAGAATGGTGAAAAGACAGGCAGGCTACTAGCCAGACAACTTAAGCAAATGGACAATCAGAATGTTATTACGGCAGTTAAAAAGGATGATAAATTAGTTACATCTTCTTCAGAGATTAACACAATTTTTCAAATATTTTATCAAGATTTATACACGTCCGATAACAAAGTAAGTATGGATCTGCTGAGTACATACTTTGATAAAATGAAAATACCAAAAATCTCACAAGAGGGTAGGGACAAATTGGAAACTCCACTAACTGAGGTAGAAGTAAAAGAAGCTATCTGTGCAATGAAAGCTGGGAAGTCACCAGGAATAGATGGATTCCCAGCAGAATTTTACCATAAATTTATAGATTTGCTATGTCCTTTTCTAACTGAAGTATTACATGAAGCCTTTGAATTTGGACGACTCCCTGCAAGTTTTAATCAGGCAGTAATATCACTAATTCCAAAAGGCGACAAGGATTTAACTGATCCAGGTAATTACAGACCAATAAGTTTAATCAATGTGGATTGCAAAATTCTATCCAAAGTTTTAGCAACAAGGTTGGAGGTTGTGATACCACAAATTATTCATCAAGATCAAGTAGGGTTTATCAAGAATAGATCTGCTTCTGATAATATGAGGAGATTACTACACCTGCTGTGGCTGAATAGAAATAACACAAATCCTGTATTGGCTATATCTTTAGATGCACAGAAAGCTTTTGATAGGGTGGAGTGGAACTTTCTGTTCACAGCCCTGGAAAAGTTTGGAATAGGTGACAATTTTTGCAGATGGATTAGAACCATGTATTCTGGTCCAGAAGCAGCTGTATTTACAAATGGGGTACTTTCTCCTTTTTTTAGTATTTCCAGATCAACACGTCAAGGATGCAATTTAAGCCCATTGCTATTTATAATATTTTTAGAGCCATTAGCTATTCAAATCAGAGAAAATGCAGAGATTAAAGGTGTATTTGGGGGAGGCAGAGAACACAAATTATTCCTGTATGCAGATGATGTGCTGATATTAAACCAAGACCCAACTAATTCTATCACAAAACTATTAGAGGTGATTAATACATACTCAATGTTTTCGGGGTACAAAATTAATTGGCATAAATCAGAGGCGATGCCAGTTTCCCAGGCTTGCAGTCATAACTTAATATCGGGCTTTAACTTTAAGTGGGTGGACAAGGGAATGAAATATCTTGGAATTGAATTGGACCCCAATATTGAGGATATTATGGCTAACAGTATGGGAAAATTATTAAACAAGATCAATAAAAACTTGGGTAAATGGAGTAAACTAAATTTGACATTGTGGGGAAAAGTGAACACAGTTAAAATGGTTGTGGCACCGCTCATCAACTATTATACAGGAATGCTGCCTATGTGTATCCCGCGACGGATGTTGCAAAGCTACAATAATATGATAAAAGATTTTCTTTGGAAGGGTGGTAAACCCCGTATTAACATAAATCGACTGTCCCAATCTAAGAAAGAAGGGGGACTAGCCCTGCCCAATATAGAGTATTATAGTATCTCTTTTGAAATGGCTAGATTAGGCAAACATTGGGCAGGGAAAAATAATATAGACTGGATTTTAATAGAACAAGAGCTTGCATCTCCATTCACACCAATTGATATTTTATCACAAAAAGTGAATAATCACGGTAAGACGCAAAACCCTA